ATTATGTAAATTACTAATAAATTATTTATAATTTTATAATCTAAAATTTTTATTTTAATTATATTAGAGCAATAAAGGTTTCGCGAGATTTATTTAAACTGTCTCGGCGATTTCGCAAAATTCGTTACGTGTCGATCACTATCGTCGATCACGTGAATTATACATGATTCGGAAATTTCACTCGAAAGCACGCCTGCACAGGTGCTGCACGGGGAGCATTTTTCTGAGCTTAAACTCTGCACAAAACATTACAGTATCTATTTTCATATTTTGTTTGAAAAGGAATAGGCTACGCCCTAATACTACATATTGTTTCACATGCGTTTGCAGGTATCACGGTTTTTTGATTGCCGTTTTTAAAATGGCGTATTTAGAGGTTCTGTCTCAATAATAAAAATATCTCAAAATCATCCAACTTTTCTGAATATTCACGAATCAGTTCAGCAAATACAACTAAAGTTCAAAATAATCATGAACCAACAATTTTTAGATAATTTACAACTTGACATAAAAACCAGGACAAAGCATATATATTTCTATTCTGATAGTTATGATTCTGAAAAATTTGATCCTAATCTCTCAAGACTTACTATTCCTTTTAATATTAAGTATGGTATTTCGGGGGATCTAAGCTTTGCGCAATTTCCGAATCTCGTTTCAATCGATTTTTACGGATGCTATAATCTAAATAGCATCAATATTAGTGAAAATGAAAAGTTACGCTGGTTAAATTTTTCTGTCAGTCTTTATAAGTATATAAATTGTAAGCTTATTGTCAATGGAAGACAACTTGACCGAGTATTAGTACCAGTTGACTGGAATAATGCAGCAAAGATGAAAGATCAATGCATTATACCTTACGACCTAGTTGAAGATCGAACATTAGAACAATTGGAAGCGGAAGTGAAAAAGCTAAAACAAAATCTTGCCGAAAAAAATCAACAAATAAAGGATTTACAAACGGAAACAAAGAAAAAACCTACTCTTCACCAGTTTCAAGAACTAAATAAAATAGTATTACCTGGTAGCGAACTTAACTACGTTGGTTTAAAAGAAGAAATCAAGAGACTTAAGTTAAAAGATTTTGCACCTTACTTTCGACAGCAAAAAGATCTATATGATCAATTAACCATAAATAGTAAAAATAAAGCTGGCGATAATTTGAAACCAATTTTAGAACTTTTCTTACAAACCCGAAAACAAATTATCGAGCAGAGCAAAAGAAATGATGGCGATTTTGCAAAAGGACAACTGCAAGGACAATTAACCACTTGCCAGACACTTTTACAATCTAAATTTACCCAAGAGGAATTACAATCTCTTTTAAATATGCAAGAAGAAATATTAAAGCTCGAAGAGCAATCTAATAGTTTGAGAGTGTGATTAGACCTCAATAGGCAGGAAATTATTTCAGTTTGGTAGTCAAAATGTATATTATATCATTTAAACTTTATTTTGTGTTATGACGAGTTTGGTGATATACTTGAAAAAAAAAAAACATTACATAGGCAAATATATAGATATACTGTGAAGGCCAGGATTCTTGGGATTTAGTGAATTTTTGTAAGAATATTATTATGATACGAGTTGTAAATGCACAGCATGTCATTATATACAGTATATTAATAATCTATCTGTGATATAACTTAGTTATATGCACACTTGAATCTTTTTTCTAACTGTGTTTATAGACCTAAGTTCATAACGACGTGAAGCAAATTTGTCATTGTAACTACCTTCGGATCTAGCTAGGTTTTTGCATGATTTTTAAATATTATTTGAAACTTACATGACAGAGCCTATTTCTGATACAATGACTACATTAATGCGAGGGTTGTTATGGTTATTTACCCTTATTTTTAATCACTTGCCAAAGATACTAATTGATGACTGATTGAAATTACAATTGCCGAAGCATATGAAGTACCATTAAAATAGTATTAAATTTTGTCTTAGAAATAGCTATTATATAATAATGCAAAATATTATTTTCTCTAAAGTATGTTAAATAACCTTAAATACTGTATATTTTCTTCGTTCATCTATCTGGACTTGTACCATTTTTTAATATCCAGCCCATTTGCAATACTTTATGCGTTATTTAAGGTCATGAATCTCTTATCAATATTCATTTGAAATATATTGTTCAAAATATTTTTTATTTGCCTATAATTAATGCAAATTTTATAAGAATAATACTTTTATACGCATTAATATATACTGTGTATTTGTATTTTTCTATTGCTAATAAATCAAAAACTTAAGTTTTTATCTATTTAATGTCAAAATTTAAATAAAATAACTTGATTTCAATAACAAATTTATTTAAAAAAATTTTTGTTTTCGAGTTAATACCGTATCAAAAAAGAAATCATATCTTATTAGATTATATTTTTAAAAATTTTTAATATCAATAATTAAAAAAAAAAGAATTAAAGCAAATTAAAGTGCTATAAATACAATTTTATTTTATTAATTATATTAACTTTTATATTTTTAAAACTTATATTTTAAGTTTTTAATTACTTATAAAGAATTTTTCAATTGTAATTTTAACAGACTTTATATTGATATTAATTAAATTATGATTTTATTACAATATTTAAAAATACTATATTATAAAAAATTTGATGATATGATATTTTGAATTAATTTATATTGCTTCAGCTTTTAAAAATAATTGTTATTAAATTATTTAAAAAACTAAAAAAAATATTTGAAAAAAAATATTTAATAGCAATTGATAATAAGATTTTTATCTTTTTTACATAAAACTATAAAATTTGTATTAAATATTTTTTTATTTAAATTATAATTAATTAGCTCAAATATGTTTTATTATTAAAATTTTTATAAAATATTTATTTATACTTTAAAATAAATTAAAATAATTAAATAATTAAATAATTAGATTAATTTGTTATAAATTTATTTTTCAGATAAATAATTTTGTTTAGATTATTTTTTGATATTTAATAATAAGTTTTTTGATAAAATAACATTATTTATTATTTTTTTAAATATTTTGTAAAAAATTATATATATAATAAAAAGTTATTTGTTAAATAATATAATAAATTTAAAAAATTTAAGTATTTTTCTATATTTTTAAAAAGGTTTTATATATTTTCTTTAATATTTTATTTTATTAAAACAAAAACTTATATGAAACATTTTTCAAAAATTATTAAATTTTTTGAATTTTTTTAAATTTTTAAATTTTTTATCTTTGTTTTTTTATTACTATATTTATAATAATTTTTTGAAACATATATAAAAATTAAATTGTTAAAATAAAAATATAATTTAATTTAATCAAAATATATTATAAAATATAAATTATAAATTATTGTTTATATATTATTTTAATTATTTATTATAATAGTACTTTTTAAAATAATTATATATTTATATACTTATTTTAATCAATTTTGGTTTTTAAAATATTAATTAAACTAAATCAAAATATAATAAACAATCAATATATATACTGTATAAAGGTAATTAAAATTTTAATAATTTATACTAATTTTAAAAATATTATATAAATTACAAATTTATTAAAAAAATTTTAAAATCAAATAAATTATAAAATTATAAAAATATTAATTATTTTATTATTTTATATAATAATTTATAATCTATAAGTTTATATCTCAGTAGTATGGTTTCATAAATCTTCAGATCAAATTTGTCTAGTTACAAAAAAAATTATCACATATCTTTTTTTATTAAATTATATAAAAATTAAATTTCTGATCTTTTTAGTAATTATAAAATTACAATAAATAATATAAAAAAAAATTGTATAAAAGACCTATGGGTCTATAGCATAGTGGTAATGCTCCATAGGTCACCAGGAGAAGGTCTAGGGTTCAAACCCAC